GAGAGCGTTCGGCTTCATTCGTCAGGATATTGTAAGCCGTAGACAATTGATAAAAATTCTTTTGGGCATTTTCTTTTACGTAAATACGTAGAATGTATTTAGAATTAGTATTAGAATTAGAATTATCACGGATTTAGAGTTATTACGTATTACGTATTAAAATATATTTGGAATTATTGTTTAGAAATATTACAGATTTAGTATTAGGATTCAGAATGCATTAGAATATGTATGCATTTAGAATGTAAAAAAAAAAGATAATGTATCTTACCATCTTTAACTTTGTCAGGATGACAACTTAATACACGTTTTTTATATTCTGTAGAAATTTGTTCTGTCTGTAATGATAAGATTGATATTTAAATCAATCCCCAATTCGAATATGTCGAATATGTCGATGTATAAATAGTAAAATAATAAAAACTTACAGTACAAGAAGATGTGCAACCAAGTATCTCATATAAATTTTCGTAAAATTTTTCATCATCATCTTCTGTAGAATTTACTGATTCAAGGATTGAATTCAAATTCATTTTTTTGTTCTAGAGATTTCTTACTAATCGTTATATATACAATGGATAATGGATCATGTGGTAACCATTCTTCGGATCTTTGAAATGCATGCATGTCGATGACTCATTTTCAAGGGTTTTCGGATTTATATACCACGTGATAAGCCAATGTAGTTAGTAGCATATACGTATCGAAATCTGCGCCAAGAATTTAATAAAACGGACACGTTTCCAAATAAGGAAAATAATTATCGGGTTCAATACGTACAGATAGGGCCGACATGCAGTTCTAACAACTTTCTAAATAAGGAGAAAGACGTGGCACGAATAATTAGAGAGGTTACTACGTAGAACCATTACATACAAACCTGTAAATATGTAATATCTAAATTTTTCTCATTCTCTTTAACAAATGTCCAAAGAATCAAGGATCGCAAGTTTCTGTGGGTATCATGATTTTGATCCCAAATTATCAGTGACTTCATGGTTCATAAGTCCAATTAACTTGACAATATTTCGTGGTATAATAACATTATATTCATGGATCGTTCTTATTACACGACTTGCCTCCCAACCATCCGCACGTTTTTTTGTACTCTTTACAAATTTGACATATATAGGACTGGTAGCCTATTTCACTGTAAGTTTTAATACACTTATAATCTTATAATAAAGAATATTTACAATTTTTTGAATTAGATTTGTTAATTAAATTAAATACAAAAAAAAATTAGACCGCATTCTATCATTCATTTCGATACATTCGCACTCCTAAACCATATACACCAATATCTTTTCACAATCAACCGAAATTATTAAATTGGTTCTTTTGGCTTCTTTATCATACTTTTGTACAATTTCAGTAAGTTCTTTTTAAAGCAAACCATTAATAGATTCAGATAAATCTGATTTTTGAAAAATTTTTTTATGATACATAGCTCTATAATATTCTTAATTTATTGGATTTTCCTGGCAAACAATATAAATACAGCATTCGCAAAATGGTTAAATATTTCAGTTCATGGAATGGATTTTGCTATAATGATTTTAGAATTATTCTTAAATCGACAAATAATAATTTGGAGATTGCTTTTGTTTTCAACCTTTATAGAAATTTTATATCTTTTTGAAATTCTTATAAATTTCTCAATGTAAGTTATTATATTACATCGGTTTCTTTGATATTTACATACAGTAGATAGTCTTTATTGATATATACTTTCAATTTCTTTCTGTATAGAAATAATTATTGGGTATATGGATTTCTTGACATATCGAGTGGACCTAAATCAGCAATATGGTATATAGGGTTAGTGATAGCTTTTTCTATAGCTTTTGGTATAGTGTGGGCATTACATAAACTTAGAGATTTTATCGGGAAAAAATTAAACAAACAACAAATTGACAATGATAATACAACGGAGGAGGTAACACAATTAGATAATAATAATATGACAGAGGTAATAATTTAAATTATTTAATATATAATTGTCTCTTACCATAAGAACTATTACTGTAGCTCCTGTAGATACTACAGTAGTTGCTACAGTAATACCTATTATATCTATTATATGTAATACCAAAAATAAATTTAATAAATTTGAAAGTATTTACAAAAGATAACTTTATTATTTTCTTTAACAAAAGGCATGAAAATATATTTACAACAATCTAATGCCTATCATACTTGTACAAAAACAAAATCTTAATTCTAATTGACATAATAAAATATCATGCTGTATAGTAACTAACTTAGAAACAAATGACCAAATACAACATAGGAAATACAATTTTTTTTTTTTTTTAAGTTGACATTGGCCAAAATAATATATCATCATCTTTTGTCCGTTCTAAATCCAACTTTTTATCATGATTTTTTCCATCGCCATGATGACTATGGCGATGACATGATCTTCGTCTATATAATTTATCCTTATTGCCATAATGATTATATAATGGTATAGGAATTCCTTTTTTGCTTAAATTTACAGGTTGTGTATTCATAATAATACCATTTCTTGGATACGGTAATGATTTTGATTTATAATAATGAATTGTAGTAGTAGTGTTTGTAGGTGTTAATATTGATACGGCAGTAGAATAATGTGATGTAGTAGAATGAGAAGAAGTTGGGGATTCGGTCGTACTAGCAACTGTTGCAGGTACAGCAGTCGTTGCAGTTGTAGTTGCAGTTGTAGTTGCAGTTGTAGTGGTGGTGGATACGGTTTTTCCGTTAGGTAATACAGTAGCATTTGTATTAGTTATGTTATTTGGAGTTAAAACTTCTTCTTGAGAATGATTTTCCTCATCATTAATATCATAATCTTCACTATTTTCATAATATTCAGAAATATCATCATCATCATCATCATCATCATCATCCTCGTCATCTTCAACATAACCATCATCACTACCATCGCATAAATCACATTCCGATCCATCATCATCGTCATCATCATCATCATCATGTTGTGACGTTATAGGTAATGGAGAAAGAAGATTTGTGCGTTTATGCATCACTACTGTCGAAGTTGTTTGCGAAGGTTCGTCGGCAGATAAATTTGGTTTTGAAGAAGAATCATCATTTGTATGAGTTGAAGATCTTTCGCGAACCACTAACGGGCAATTACCGAACTTTAGGACTCTTTCTTTTTTTATGGGAGTTTCATTGCCAGTTGTGGTCGTAGCATTTATTATGGAGTTTCCCTTTGTATCAACTTGTTTTTTTAACATTTCGGATAATAAGGATTTTTTATTTGATTGAACCATCTGTGAATTTACAAATTCACGTTTTGTGAATTCTACAGTCGAGTTCGTACTTGAAGCCAATTGTAAAACAGAAGATAAAAGTGATTGAACAATTCTAGAAGATTTTTGATGAGAAGAAGCAGTTGAGGGAGAGTTATTAAAAGAAGGTTTATCGGACTTTAGTTTTAATCTATAAATAAATAAATATATATATATAT